GAGGGATGCAGAGAATCTTGAGGGGTCAGAGGCCTGCAGGCAAGGCCCTGTGAGCAGAGACTGAGGGACCTAGATCTCTTCAGCCTTCACAAGAGAAGGCTGAGAGGTGATCTTGTGGCTGCCTGTAAATTCATCAGGGGAGGGCAGCAAGGAATCAGAGATGCTTTATTTACTAAGGCATCCCCTGGAACAATGGCCACAAATTGACGGAGAGCAGATTTAGGTTGGACATTACAAAGAACTTCTTCATAGTAAGGGTTGCCAGGCTCTGGAATGGACTTCTGAGGGGAGGTGGTACTCTCCCCCACCTTGGGGGTCTTCAAGAGGAGACTGGACCAGTACCTAGCTGGAGTTGTCTGACCCCAGCTCTTTCCTGCCCAGGGCAGGGGGTCAGACTCGATGACCTACGGAGTTCTCTTCTGACCCTAACATCTATGAATCTGTCTTTAAACTTGAATGTACCCAGTTGCATGGCAGGGCTTGGCTTGGTTGACAGCTTCCCCCAGTCCTGGGACCACACTGGAATCTTCAGCCAGCTCCAATACAGTCCCAGGCTGGGACTAACAGTAAGCTGATTGTACTAAGATGCATGATGCTACATTTGTCATAGCAACACTACTGTAGTGTAGTGTCACTAATCACAACAGTGATGCTGCAGCTATATTGCTGTACCAATGCATTCCCTCATTATAGCATGTTACAGCCATGTAGCAGCTAATAATAGCCCATACTGTGCTGTGCATTGTTATTTTTGTGCCATCCTTAGTACTTCCAAAAGTACTAAATGATGGTACAGTAACAAAAGTATCCATAAGGACTCATGAAGATGCACCCTGTGGGTCCCAGTCCAGGTTCCCTTTGTACCAGGAAGAAGCTGACTGCCAGGTGCCTTGTGAACATGGAAATGCAGCCCAGGCAAGTAATGGCACATTTGGGATCAGATTCCAACTGTCGTTAAATGAACATGCATGCTCAAGACCTGCAGCACATCTTGGAACTACTAAGCAAGACATTTGATGGAGTAAATCCTATTTCTTTTCTGGCCTCCGGAAGTTCTGATTAACTCCTAAAAACAAATGTGTATGGAGAAGGACTACTAGGTATCTAAAATCTAGCATCGTTCTTCCTTCTAGGAGTTGGAAAAGGCAACGGAAGTGACCTCAAAGTTCAGATAATACTGAAGAAGCAAGTGGTATTCCAGTGTGCGTGCACCATTCAAGAAAACTGCAGGGTAACAACTTGGACCAAATGTGTTTTTACTAGATTGCATGTTTTATTTCCCACTCTGTTTGAAGTAAGAAACCAAATCTTTTTGGGGAGACATGAGGGATAAAACATCTACTGTAAGAGGCATTAGGATATCCAGGAAAAATTTTGCCCTTAAGGCTGGGTGTAGGGGAATAAATTTTCCCAATAAACTAATAGCCCACTAGGTGACCCCCCAACCCAGACTAATTTCCTAACCAGACTAGGAATGTCAAAACAATAATTCTCTCTCTCTCGCCCTTTTATTTGCCTTGTTCATCAGGCTGTCACTTCAGATAAGTGGGTATTGTTATGAGCAGTAACCTAGTTTGAATGTGCAACTGCTGCATTGTATGCACTTCTAGTGTTGGTAGTTGAAAACATGCCTTGATTACTTCTGTCTTGTTTCAGTTATTTTTTGATGCTGAAAGAGACTTTGTAGCAATTGGTTTGGAAGGCTGCCCTGTCATAAGTGGTGACGTAAAAATTCGATTTGAATCCCGTTCTGTAAGTAATACAGGGGTTGCTTTTAATCTTCTATAGCTGTCTGACCATTTAGAAATTTTAGATGTGCACATTCTAGCAAATAATGCAGGATACTGAAAAGCCACCAGTGAAAAGAGCAGAGCTGGGGTTGCTTTTGTGCAACTGCAGAAACTACTTCTGAATCAAAACCAGAGTACGTTACTACTTTTTTTTTCTCTGAAGGTGGATTGTTCAATAACATACCCAAGTAATGGAGTACACATACTTAAGACTACAAAGTTTCTTTGTCTCCACTTTCTTGACTACTAGAAATGCTGCAAGTAACTCTTGGATTGCATCATAGCCCTTGGTCAATGAAACAGGAGCTATGTTGAATGGGGCACTTAATATGATCTGAATAAAATGCATGCTAAGCACTACTATGCCATGTTAAATTGGGATATGTTCTGAGTAGTTGCACAGTATGCAGGCTGGGAAAACCCTAGTAAGCACTGCTTTGTTGGTAGCTCCAGAAAGCTAGGTCTGTGCCAGGGGTAGGGGGAGGCATAGGGAGCTGAGGACTGAAGAGGGTGCTGTCCCTGCTGCCAGATCTTGTCAGTGGTCAGAGGCAGCTTGAGGCTTGAGTGTGGTCCCAGTGCTGGGACTGACAGTCTGGTGATTTACTGACTTCTTTTAGTCCTTTCCCAAAAATTACTTCAGATACAACCCTTCTAGTGAACTGCTGTGATAGGGACTGCTGCTCACTGAACATAACTTTCTGGGTGGAGTGGTCCTAAACCATGCTACCCCATGCTTTGAAGAAGTGGAAACTGTCCAGGTAATAACTTTTTAAGACTAAAACTCTGCAAGAAAATATATCCTAAATCTAATCTTGTTTCTTCCAGGATCTTCCAAAAGGCTATGATGACTGCCCATTCTTCTTCTGGTTTAACACTTCCTTTATAGAAAATAACAGGTACAACAAAGCTATGGTGGTGAAGTGCAAGCTATTGTCTGTTGGTGCACGAGGGACCATTTTGCAAAGGCAGATGCAGCACAGAAGTATTTCAATAATGGTGCTGCCTCATGCTTATAGTGGGGGAACAGTGTTTTTTGCTGCTGCCTCCTTCACTGCTGCAGCTATTTAGCAGTAGAAAATTGGTATAGTCCTGTCAGGACTCTGGTCTAGATAAGTAGAACATGCCTCTTGCCTGTGAGACTGCTCTCATCCTGGTGTTCTGCATGGATTTTTATAATCTTGTCTGTGCTGTTACAAAGTACAAATAGTGATGCTTGCAGTACCATGTCTGAACATCCCTGCTTCACTAGTCCTGGGGAGGGAGGGAGTGGGGTTTTTTGTTTTTGTTGCTTAAAGCTGTTACAGTTAAGGGCTGGATTTTAAATACCACTTTGAGTGTTCTTGCAGAAACAGGGCTGATAACTTTTTTTTTCAGCCTGTTTTTTGAATGCAATATGGATGAGAGAAGATCACTGAAGAGTTCACCCTCTTAAATTCTGTCTTCCAGGCTTTACCTTCCTAGAAATGAGTTGGATAACCCTCACAAGGCCAAAGTGTGGAAGATCTACAGAGAGGAGTTTGCTGTGGAGTTGAACTTTGTTGAACCATAGTGGGAAGATGTTGGCATTTGCTTAAGTTCTTTGTTTCCTTTAATCATGTTTAGTCTCTTCCAATAAGGTGGTATCTTCTGAGACTATCTTGGTACACTTTGTATATTGACACATCTCAAATAAACCTTGAAACAAGAAAACTTCTTTGTATAGATCTTATACAGCTGCTTGCTTTTCACAGTCCCTACAGTTTTTTGGGTTCTCTTTTTCAATATTTAAACACCACTTCGTATGGATCCATATTTATCCTGTGTCCAGTGGATCTCCCTTTTTTAAAACCTTGCTTGGAGAAAAGGAGAGAACCCAACCTGCATATATGTTGGCCCCATGTCTTACGAATAGGTAGGAACTTGTCTTTTCCTAATCTGTTTTACAATCGTGTGCATGTATCATCTGATATTTTAAGGAATCATTTTAAATAGGTAAGAACTTACAAATGCATGCATCTGGAGACTCCTTTTTCCATTCTTTATACCCTGCTTGCATTGAGCACATCTCTCACTGCTGTGTCAGACCTTGGTTAATAAGCATGTTTTAGTTCTTTCCTTCCACCACCACTTGACAGGGGCTGAGCTGAGGAATGCTTTTTTACTTAACTTCTGGCTCTTAGCTGTGTTTGCTGTTCAAAAATGCCTGTGACCACCAGTGGATACATGTGCATGTTTGTTAATTGAAAGGCTGAAGCTGAGGCTGGCAGGCTGGAACTAGATCCAGTACTAGTTCAACACATTGCTCTACAATGTAGATATGTCCAAAGCAGTTAAGGTATGGCAGCAAGAATTAACCCAGTCTTGCACTTGTCCACACTGTGCATTCAGCAGTGAAGACTGGCAGGAAGATACTGAATATGAAACTGCAAAGGCTAACTAATCTGTCTGTAGCCTGTCCTGACTTCTATCAAGAAGCAGTCTCACTTTGTTTTTTTTGTTTTCCCCTTGTCCTGCCTGGGCATTCATGCAGTCTCCGAGTTGTCAAACCTTTCATCTGATTTAAGTCGTCATGCAATCTGGCCATGATGGTATATGGTACATAATAGTACTGCAGCACTAGACTGTGGCACCAATTCTGATCCTCTTGCAGTGCTACTGGCACTTGGTACTGTCTCCCTAGGCAGCGGCTGGTGTAGTTCTGGGGGGCAGAACTGGGCAAACTTAACATGGGCTACCCATGCCTGAGTACTAGAGGGAAAGAAGGTAGAAAATTCAGTAAAGAAAAAGTGGGGGAGGGAAAGATTCACAGATTATAAGGCAGGAAGGGACCTCAAAGATCATCAGGTCCAGCTCCCTGCACCAAGCAGGAAAGATAACTGGGGGTCAGATGTCCCTATCAAGGTGACTATCTAGTCTCCTCCTTGAGGATTTCCAGCGTAGGTGATTGTACCACCTCTGGAGGGAGCTTATTCCACAGTCTGAACACCCTGACTGAAGTCTTTCCTAATGTTGAACCTGAATAGGTCTTCTGTGGCCGTTTATTCCTAACTTCCCCCTCAGGTGCCCTGGTGAACAATTGCTCACTGAGCCCTTGATGTATTCCCCAACTGTAGTGGTAAGCTGCTACCAAGTCCCCTCTCACTCTCTTCTTCTCTTTAGGCTGAAGAGTCCCAGATCCCTCAGCCTTTTCCTTGTATGGCTTGCCATGTAAGACTCTCTTGTTTTTGTATGGGTGGCTCTCCTTTGGACTCTCTCAAGCTTGTCCATGTCCTCATTGAAGTGCAGTGCCCAGAACTGGATGCAGTACTCCAGCTGCACTCTCACCAATGAGTCAAGCGGAATAATCTCCTCCTTGGCTTTGCTGGAGATGCATCGATTTGATGCATGCCAGAGTATTTGCCCTACTGGCTCATTCATACTGCAGTCTATTACCCCCCAGGTCCTTTTCATTCATGGTGCTAGTCAGTTTTGGGGGGGAGGGCAGGAAGATGGGATGTGACTTAAGAGGTAGAGTATAAATGAGAGAATCTGAGGTAGGAAGCTTAGTCTCTTTAAATTGGCCTCCCTTTTTAAGTACGGAAGTGGAGGTGGTCTCAATTTAGAAGACCTTTATTCTTACAAGGGGTAACTCTAGTGTAAACTCTTAATTTTACAAGGCATTCATCACTTGTCAACAAGACTGCCAGAAAAGTGGTCCTCAGAACCAGAGTAGGTAAGAACTTTAATTTTGTTTTTCTGCTGATCCTAGCTCCCATAGGAGCAAGAGTTATACATAACCTCTCCCATGTTCTGTTTTCTTCCCAGATCTTAAAGCAATGAACTTCTGCCCTGTAACTTTTTTCCAGTTCAAAAAGTATGTATGTAAACTTGTGCAAGCTATTGTCTTGGATCTCTTTATACACTATACAGCTACCCAGTGGACAAGATGCTTGTAAGACTTCCATCCCCTCAAAACAAACAAACAAACAAAACAAAAAACTCCCCCAAAGAAGCCGTGTAGAGTACACCCAAAATCTATAAACTGCTGCCTCTAACTTGTACTAGAGTCAAAAGTCAAAGGCATAGTATAGAAAGTGGTTGTGTGTAGCTTTTAAATGTGTTTTAATTTAATGTTTACCATACTGCTCTCTACTCTGAAAGGAAAGCTTCCCTATTACAGGAGTCCATATTTTACAACTTGAAGTGTAATAGCCACTAAAAGGAACCTCTTGTCAGTAGTAAAGGGAATCAACTGCCTTGCTAAAATTTGGGTTCTTGGGTCAGTTAAACTAATTGCACAATCTTAAATTGCAAGCATTTTTAATGCATGTTTGTCTGGGTTTTTTTTAATCTCTTCAACTTTTTTTTAACTCTTAAAAGAGCCTGGCTACTCCATGAATTATACCTCCTTGACATAATAGGAAAATAGTAAGTCTCCTACTATAGTTGTTGTATACTTGGTCACTTAATTCTTAAGCTTTAAGCTTTTTTGGGTGACCTGTGTTCAGAGATTCTACTGACTTCATAAAACACTTGTCTAGAAAAATTCAAATGAGCTTTCAGTAGCACTTCCAGGCTTTCCCACTTAAATACCCATGGACTGGAGCACAGGTATAACTTTTAAGAAGCTACAGTTTTTGTTTGGCTGACTTTTTTTTTTTTTTTTTTTTTATCTTTTTAGGGGGTTAGTTTTTTTGTGGGTTTTTTCCCCAGCTTTCTTTTTTCCTTATAACGAGTCTACTTGTCTTTTACTTTTTGTCCCTCCTTTAAAAATTGATCTCTCTCTTTAAGTTATTGGAATAATTCTTACCTACTCTTCCAGTAGCTATACTTCTAAATGAAAATCTAACAATTTATCCCATTTATGCAGCAGAACTTCAATTTTTTTAATTCCTAAACAGGTGTCACTTGCCATTTACCACCTTCATCTCTCCTCCTCCTCCTCCTCCCCCACCCCCCCCCCTCTCCCCTGCAAAGTACCAAAATTACATTCTTTGAGACTCTTGTACAGTATCTGCAACAGGTTTTGGTGCACTTTATTTCTTTCACAAGCTGAAACATCTTTGCATGGGGACTCCCTCCCCCTTGCCCTGGAAGTACTCCTTTTGAAAGGAGGGAGTTTGAAACGGGGGGAGAGAAAAACATCTTGTACTAAACAACTGATCACCTACTGTAACTTTATTTTGACTTATTTAAAAAAAAAAAGTCTCTCCTGACTCCACTTACATAGTGTATCTAGAGGCGATTGCATTATAGCTCAAAATAGTCTTACTCTGGTACATTCCAAGCTTGCAGGCAAGGGCCCTAAATACAAGTTGAGGTGGGCTGAACAAGTATGGGGCACCAGCAAAAGCTCTGCCAGTCATTGGCTGCTTGTCTCTAGTGCCTGTTAGCTTGGGGCTGGCATGGGTCAGGTTGGTGAGGGGGGCAGGTGCTTGGCAACCAGAACTATACCTCCTGGGTGGAGGTGCCAGCTTGCAGAGGGGTAGCAAGGGCCAGGGCTTGCAGATGAGCCCTGCAAACTGGATGGAATTTCTTGGCAGGCCAGATGTGGCCAGTAGGCCACACTTTGCCCACCCCTGGAATAGGAGGTTGTTCAAGCCTACAGGAGCTGGGTCACCTTCCTGTGCCTGCAGAGATCTTTAAAAAACAAACCTGACCTAAAGCGTAAGTTGCAAAGCAAACCAAAACTAACTCAAATTTAAGGTTGTTTTATTCCTACCAGGAATCCTGTCTTATTGAATCCTTCTGCTGTCCTCTAAAGACTAGCTAAAGCCAGAACTAGCATTAACAAAGAATCCTTTAGATTATAGGAACACTAAACTAGAGGCGGTGGCAGCTGCTGCTACTACTTGTTCTCTTTTTAATATTTTTCTCACTTGTGGGTTATGTAGCCAGACTGCATACAGTGCCAGATATTTGAGCTTATAGGAAATTAATTCTTTACAGAAGAGATAGATAAGAAGCAGCAATCTGATCTTCCTGTAGCTACTTGGTCTATGGAAATTTAAGACACTAGCATACTCTGTTTTTAAAAAAACAAACAAAACAAAAAACCTCCAAAAACCCCTCTAGTACCAATTCTTTTTTAGGTTTACATACTGCTGAGAGAAGTACTGCAAGGAAGCTAATGACCTTCAGCTGGAAAGTACCAGCAAAATACTACTACTACATGTTTTCATTAAATATTTGCTAAAGATGGCTTTGTACCTATAGCTCCAAGTGATCAAATACATAACTATTTTGCTTTAGTTCCTGTTGCCAAAGACTAGATTCACATAACTGGTAGGTCTCTTCTATCTAGTATTGCATAGGCCAGAACCCTGAGGCTGTGAAGACATGCTGGTCTATACCTGAAGCAGGGTGTCTTGTGCCCAAAAGCTTGTAAAGAACAATTTTTCCAAGTATTTGGTTGGTGTAATAAAAGATATACAAACAAATACTTAGGTAACTGGGATAAGTCCTTTAGACTAACACAGCTGTAACCCACACCTTTGGGAGGTTTTTAAACTGAGTCTTCCACACAAAGGGTAAATTGTTTTGCTATGGTACAATACAGGGGGTTGGAATAAGTTGCCTTCGTGTAGTCTAAGGCTGCTGCTCTACCTAGCACGTGCACTATTTGCATGGTCAGGAAGTTGGAGAAAAGAATGACTTCAAGGGGTAGTAGTGAAATGAGAAGTTGGTTTGAATGCCTACTCTGACCTGGGGAGAAGTTGAAGCCATGGTCTCCCATTCCCAATCACTGTACTCTCATAGTTGAAGTGACTTATTCTAGCCTACTGAAGCCAATTATTCCATCCAAAAAGCATAAATGTAATTTGACTGCTGGCAACTTCTTTCCCAGCCTCTTATAACAGTATTGTGACTGTCGTATGCTTAGGGGAAGACTATCCCAAGCCTCAAGCAAAGCATTAGTCTCCTCTAACCTTGCAGGATGATTTAATCCCAGAAGTGTCAAACAAACAGGCCAGGAAGTCCTGCCATCCAGCACCCAGTACTGCCCCACACAGCATGCAGCCTTCCTCACTCTCCATACTTGATCAGTCACTGTTCCAGCTGGTCTGGGTCATATGCTGCTTAGGCATATAGTCCAGTCCAGCTGGAATAGCTGCTGTGCAGTTGCCACCCCAGCTGGACTATGCCACATGACACCTGTTCCAAGACTCATGCTGTTCACAGCACTTGCAGGCAGTGGGTCTGGGGCTGCAGAGGCAGCAAGTGCAGTGTAGGTCCCAGATCAGCTGGAACATCTGCTGAATCAGATATGCTGGGGAAGAGAATGGGGGATCCATAAGCTAGAACCAGCCCATGGATCACCCCCACACTACCTACCTGGCCTGTGGAGCCAGATGAGTTTGACACCTCTGACCTAATCTAGTAAATTAATTGTAGTGTCTGACCCAGCTAGTAATTTGCTTTACTCTTTAACAAGAAGCTCATAGTTTCAGGCTGAAATAAATGTAACCCAACCTGGTGCCAAGCTAAAATATTTGTTCACACATTTTCTCAAAATTACAGGGCATTGGTAAACACTGCATTATCAATACTGGAAAAAAGGAAATCCTGACCAACTTTCTGCTCTACCACTAGAGAATTAGATTTAAAAGTGGGAACAGTAGGTTCAACTGGAAACACAACTGTAGCATCTTATGCTGAGTACAAAGGCCACTAAGGGCAGTATGCTTCTTAAAGTCTCTTGAGCAGCATTAATTGGTGGAACAAGTGTGCAAATATCTCCAGCTTTCAAACTTCTCCTCTACCCAGCCAGTCCTGTGGATTGACTTAAAAAAAAAAAAAAAAAAAGTGTACCTACTGTCTAGGAAAATCAATTTACTTTTCTTTTTTTAAGTTTAAAATCTTCAATAAAAAGCAGGTTTCTTAAAAACAAGGTCACCCAATTTGTTGTGTGCACAGTCAAGCCCTAAGGTGACCTATAGTTCTAGCTCCACTTTCTTCAAGAGATCTGCTGGAAGGCTTCAGTAGGCATCAATCTGTTTCATCATTATCTTCCGGCTGTACTCGTAGGTAAGGAATAATGCGCCATTGGCTGGGAATGCACGAAGCAGAGTAGGCTTTAGTCCAGAATACAAAGCAAGTACTCCTGGGAAACAAAAGTATGAACCAATTAATGATCTGGATGTTCAACTTTTAAAAGTACTGATTCAGAATATCTTGCACAACCTTACCTCCCACAGGGAAGAGCAACCTCACTTACTGGTCCCATTTAGAGTGAACAGGAGGCAAACTGAACCAGCTGACAATATTTCTGAGGCCAAAAGTTTAAGGGTAGAAACAGACATTGCCCAACACCTCATTTGTGCCACCATAACAATTGTGAGCAAACAGATGTTGCTACTGTTTGTAGTGTGACAAAAGGAACAAAACCAGTGGCATGACAAAAGGCATTAAATAGACTCTGCTGTTTTATTACAGCAGATGTATATTAGTTCTATGGTGGAAGAGTACAGGTAGCCCGAGCTGCTTGTACTCTCACTCCATCCTGGGTTGGTGTTCTGGGGGCTTGAGGCCCCTCAAGACCATGAAGCACTTGCTCATTTTTCCTGCTTAGAGAGAGGCTCTCCAGGAAAATCAAGGTACCTCTCCATAAACAGGGAAGTTGAGGTTCCCTTCTCAGCCAGACCCATCTTCCCCTCCACCCCCAATCACATGAGCAAAATCTGGTTGGGCAGGAAGAGGGGAGATGACAGCATCCCTTGTCCAATACCATCAAGGATGGGACAAGGGGCAACATGCATTTTGCTGGAGCACCCAGTGGGGGGGGGGTGGAATAGTTGCAGTAGGCATTTTGCTGGAGCACCCAGTGGGGGGGGGGGGGAATAGTTGCAGAAAAGAGAGTGCAATGGGCCCTCTCCACACCTTTGATTGGCCAAGGGGACCTAGGAGTCCTGTCCCTCCCCAGAGATTGACACAATCATCTGTTAATCTATGGGGAGGGGTGAGACTTCTGGGGCCACTCAGCCAGAGGTATGCAAAAATGGCAGCTGGTGCTTGGACTGCAAAAATCAAGGGGCAGCCACTGAGAATTAGGTAGATCCCTAGCTATAAATGGGATTTTCACAGGGGAGGTGAGAACGTTAGTGTTAATAGCCAAGGTAGTTACTGGATGCTAGATGTGTTAGCAGTCGGGGAAGGAGCTCCTTTCTGCCCACATTAGGCTTCTTGGATTTGTCAAATCTCTTCCTAAATGACAACTTCAGCAACTGATCAATAAGGCAATTTAACAGTCTACTCCTTTCTTAGGAGCTTGAGTCTTATTTTAAAAGATTAAAAAGGGTCTTATTTAAAGCTTCATCCCAAGTATCACCTGTTTCTAAATTAAAACATTACCAGTTATAGTTATAAGACAGTAAAATGTGTTAAATTCTCTCACTATTTTAAAAATGGATGGACTAAAGAGACTGCCTTCAAAAGAGGCAAGACTAGGAAGCAGAAGAAACCAAAATTTAGATTCTCCTTTACTAGAGATCTCTCCTTTACTAGCACCACTTTTGCCCAATGTTCTCCCTTCACTGTCTTTACAGAGATGGGCAAGTCCTTGCATTTCCCAGGACCGGGCAGTCCAAGGGAAAGGCAGAGCTTAAATCCCCCCTATAAAATGTATCTGCTGCAGTGCAATAGAACCTGGATACTCTACAGGATCAAGTTATACCCCACATTTTAAGAGGATGAAGGAAATACAGAGCTTCAGTAAAGAGCTGTGGCATTTTTGCCTTTGGCAGTGGCTTTTATTTCAAAGGGTGCTACTTCTTTGATCAGCTGTGCCAGAGTTGATGAGCTGTGCCTTTTGAAATAAAGGAGCTGAGCTACTTGTTCTTAGTTTAGCAATCCACTGAACTGAGCAAGTTGCAAACCACCCAGATAACCCAGATTACTCCTGTATCTATTGTACTCCACTGAAAGTGGTTTTGACCCATAATTCTGCAGATTCAGTTATACCTATATACACACGCTTACCTTCATTTCTCAAAACATTTGAAAACGTTCCCATGAAACCCGCCTGTTTTCCAGCCATGGAAAGAACCTGAATTCTAGATTTGACACAGTCTATAGGGTACACAGCAATCCATAAGCAGATGCCTCCGAAGCCACCGCTTATCATTAAAGGAATAGGACCTTTAAAAAAAAAGGGAAGCAAGCTTGTTTGCAGGTATGTAAACAGCAGGAATGCATAGAATGTTGTGCATCACAAAAAAGTAGCTTCTTGCTGATAGTTTTGATCTGTATTTTAGATATAAAGAATTAACTATTGAGAGTTGCTGGAAATTTTAGAATTACACATCTGCACATTTGGAGATGTACTTATTTCATGAACTATTTAGCTAGAAATCTGGCATTAAAGGTGCATATGCATGCTTTCCTAACACTATTTCTAAATTTAATTCCTTAATTCTAAGTGAAGCCGCCAAAAGCCTCAACCTAGAATACAGAAGTCTGGTTCTGCCAATAGATATTTCTGTCTGTATATACAGAGATATACAGGTACACAGAAAATGTCAATTCTGTCAATGGTATATCCAAGACAAAAAATACAAGCCAAATCAGAGCCAATATAGCTAACACGGCTATAAACATTCAAGCCAGCAGTTCCAATTCAAAGTATAATGGCAAAGACACGTGTATGGAGCAAGATTCCATTGTTAGGTGATCGCTCTTTACAGCGCAAGTACAAATTTGCTTCTGGGATTATATTTTATTAAAAAAAAAAAAAAAAAGTTATGCACAGCAGAGACCAGAAGTCAGGTGATTAAAACTCAAGCTCTGCATCATGGCAAAGCAAACTACTGTTGCTAAATCCTTAGCAGGGGACAAGAAAATGAAGTTCTGACATTTTCTTGTATATGTGCATTAACTTTCAACCTTAATAATGTTCTCATAACATAGCTTATTTATATATTACTTGAACATCCAGATGTGCATTAAAATACCTCAGAAGAGAATTTTATATTAAAAATATAAATCGTAATATGCCAAAGCCATTGGAGAATGACAACTTTTTCACCAACCTGTGAGCTGGAACATACCTAGTTCATTTTTTGATCTCCCCGATGCAAAAAATGTCCGACTCAGCTCATATCCTCCAAAGAAGACAAAATAGCCTGGGAGTTCCCGAAGTAAAGTGCTAGACAGACCACGGTAAAACCCAAGGGGACCATCCTTTTGAAGAACACCTTTCACTACAGACCAAACTGTACTAATAGAGAGATTGGGGAAAAAAAAAAAAAAGTGATACTTAGCATTTTAACAGGTAGAATGCTAAAGACTGTTTGTAAGTACCTTCAATAGTACTTCTGTTTTACTATATCCTTTATTGGACCAACTGTGTAGTTGTCCTAAAAGGTTGTGCAATAGCTCTCCCCGCTATATAGTTGGCTCAATAAAAACAAACAAACAAAACAAAACAAAAAAACAACACACCATGCAAAAATTTCCTCAACATTTCTGGGACCACCATGGTTACAGTAACACTCCATCCTTACTACTTTTTATGTAAGGGAATAAAACCAACACAACTAAACAGGCTACATGTGTTGTGTTGCTGGCTCAGGTCAGTCACACAAGTTTACCATTCACCTTGAAGGGGAGCAGGGCCAGACCCTTGGTAATGAAGTTATGAGTCTGCAGGACTACACTTCTCTAGAAAGTAAAGTAATCTACCTTTGTGCAGTCAGCAGCCAGTACTAGCCAACATGCTTGTTAAAATTGGGGATGGAATGTCAAAAGTAGATGTATGATGGCAACAGATTACACACTTACTTGTGTCCTTGTGTTATCTTCCCAGATAGCTGCAATTCATGCATGGTCTGCAGTCGACACTTCACTAGTTCTGTGGGACAAAGAACCAAAGTGGCGAATGCAGAAGCAAAAGAGCCAGCAGCTGCATTCTGGAGATCACTGAAAAGACAAATTACAGAAGGCATTTGAGGATTCATCCTCCTTTACCATACAGCCTAAGCACCAGTTTTCTGAAAGCTTTAATAATGCAAAACAGAAGGACAAAAAAAAAAAAAAAAAAAAAAAAAATCATTTATGGCAAAGGTACAAAGGTACAGCCCCCGGGGCCAGATCTGGCATGTGGAGCCCCACTACCTGGCCCCCAGTGCTGCTCTGGGCCTGGGGTTGATCCATACATCGCACAGTGTGTGCTGGACTGGCTCCACCTGGGAGTTTTCAGGGGACATACGCTGAACATGGTATCCGCACCAGCTAGTTCAGAACATGCAGGGCACCTGCCCCAGCTGCTCTGAGACAATGTAACACATGCAACAGTCCAGCAGCTCTGGGGCAGGCACCACATGCAATGTGGGTCCTGGACCAGCCAGAGTGGGTGCTGTGTGGCACATGTCTCAAGCCAGACCCATGAAGCGAGTTTCATGTGCACTGAATCTGGCCCACAGGGTTGGGCACATGCCATTCATCTGCCCTTTGGGCTGGCCCCACACCACCCATTGGGCCAGATGAGACTGACAGCCCTGATATGGTGTTACAGCGTGATGGCAAATAAGTTTAGTTGTTCTTGGATGGCTCCAGATTGCAGGAGTTTGGACCTTTACTCTGGAGTCATGCTGCCCCCAGCTGACCCACCTGTAAATGGGTATATCTGGTCTTTTGAGAAGCAAAAAAAAAAAAGGGTGGGGGGGGGGGAAAAAAAACAGATGACAGGTGTCAAAAGGCAGCCAGATATGATGCTAACTACATCATTCAATGCTCCCTTCTATACCACTGGCTTTTGAAGCTTTGTGCCTTAACCATAATACCCTGAAGGGCAAAAAAGGCTAGAATTAAAATAGGGAAATAATTAATTAAAAACCCAGCTTTCTCCATCTCCATGTAACTTCAGACAGGTAAAGAAACAGGCCCTTATCATTAAACAAATCACAACCTATATAAAGTGAATAAAGCAGAACTTAAATACTGTATAGTTTCATTAACTAATAACATCACAAGGCCAAGCCTTTATCCAACCAGTCACAGTTCTTTAGCAACTAGGTAAAGACATTAGTATGAGGAACCTGGGGAGGAGGGAGACTGGGATAAGGAACTGAGGTGACAGACTGCATGAGTCCAGGGCAGGGGAGGTCAAGAACCCAAGAGAGAGAGAGAGAGAGAGAGTTTTAGTGGAATCCAAGGAGAGGCTGGTACAAGATGGACAACTGGACTGGGAACATATTGGGATGGATGTGATAGAATGGGTTAGGTCTGGGGGTGGAGAAGCAGGCAGAAGAGTCACCCACTAGAGCATACTCCCGTCCATAGCCCAGGGTATACAAAGGCTCAAAAGACCATGGCCAATAAGTCTCATTCCCCATCTGCATGCATCAGCCCGAGAGGTCACAACCTACTACTGTCAGCTATGCAGGTTAAGGTGGCAAGTCTACATAGCAGATCCCCTGCTGATGAACCAAGTGGATACCAGCCAGCCAGAGTTACTCTGTGGTGTTTTTCTGCTGCTTGTTTTTTTCCCCTCCAAAACTGCATACATACACACGCACAGTTAGTACAGGGGTCCTACACCTTCCCCTAACCCCACATGCTGGGATTGGGACTGGTCCTATCCTATGTGCCCGATTATAGCTCATAAAGCCACAACCCCTTGAGCTCTCCACAGACTGAATGACACGGTGCTTAGGGTTGAGCACCCGCAGCCCCCCCCCCCCCCCCCCCCCCCAAATGTTAAAAGAACACTGGTTTGGTTGCAAAGTCAAGCAACCCAGAGTTAGTTGCCAGGGCAACTTGAATTCATCTCCCTAGTACCTCTACATTACAATGCAGCCTATTTACATCCTTACACTCCTCCCCTTTCCCATCATACGGCTGCTGCCTCATCAAGTGCACAGAATGGATCTGCTCTGGGGGTGCGAATTGGGAAGATCTACTGTAGGGGTGACCCTGGTCTCTTCTGTTGAGGAAGCTGGAATGTATGTAGTGAATGAGGCAGGTGACTGTGGGATGAGAGAGGGTAGCCTTGTGGCAATAGTACCTGAAATAGAATCCAGCTCCCTAAGGTACTATCTCCACTACTACTGAGTTCTTGTATGATGCTAGTCAAGGCTCTTAAACCACGCTTCTTATATCCTAGATGCTTGACCCAATACCCCATTGTCTGCTTTACAGAAGCACTGAATACTCCAGCTACAAACTGGAGTCAGCAGGAGCAGTACTCTGAATGTGTGAAGTGCTGAAGAACGTAGGACCAGAAAGAGCCTCCTCAGCCATTGTGTCCTGGCCTCAGCATTTGCAGCCAGTCATTTAGCCAAGGAATCCCCAAAAATCACAACAAACCCTTGTACACCAATCATTAAGAATACTCTATAAACATGCTACAGCTGAAAGCAGGGGTGTAACATTAAGTCCTAAAACTAAACAAGTCCCAGGCATCTCATAAAATCGGACACCCAAAGGTTAGTGAATACTTTTGACCTGAATAAATATGTGCCCTAGCTCTCTCCCTCCCCGACCCCCCTTCCAATCCTCCCCTGGAAAAACAAGATTAAGATGTTCCACACCTCCTATGAGCACGTGAAGATAAATTGGTGTTTGTGACTGTCTCGGACGGCCAAAGCCGACTCGAGGTGATTTAATAATTACTCGTTCGTTGGGCGGGCTGGTGAATAGAGAGGCAGACAAGGCTTAATTGGTTGCAAAACTTTACTTACGCCGCTTGTAGCTGCGATGTTGACGGTCTGGTCGTATGAACAACTATGTCAGTTGTTCCAGCTGGCAAGGCTCAGGCTAGCTCATCCGTCCACAAATCGAGCCGGCGGGACAAGGGTACATCAGGGATTGCGCTCGGCGACGGGGAGAAGAATCAATAGGTGATCAGTCTATCGATCAGCTCAGCCGCAAGTTAGATCTCTTTTGAGGCACTCTGCAGCGTGCTCAAAGTTCTCCGACTTGGGCGGAAGTCGCATGAAATTTTAAACGGCCAGCAAGCCAATTCCCAGCCGCCACGTAGGAATAATTTAGAACTAGCCAATAGCGGGACACAAATTTGCATTCGAATGGCGGGAACTCTTGCACTGGGGTTTTCTGCTGCAACAGAAAACCTTTTACTTTGCAAGAGGCTCTCATGGGGCGGGAAAATTCCATCGTGCCAAGGCACCAAAATCACTGGGTTGTGACATGGCCCCTTGCCGATGGCACAACTGGAGTTTTAGACACACGAGCACATCATACGGCATCTTTGTTTCAGGATTTACTAACCTGGCAAAGCTTTAACAACCTCATATTATATGTTGTTATACAACCTGTATACACACACACACACACACAATTTGATAGACCGGTCTTCTTTAACAAACTATAAAATATAATAACTTGAACATATAACAACAACCATTGATCATCGTCTGATTGGAGAACATCTGCTTGGGACTCCCCTCGTTTACTAGTCAGTCCGTCTTCTCCTATAACAGACAATGTTAATTAAAATACTTAGCAAAAATGAGAGAGAACAATATCATAGCAAGTCCTGAGCGGATGGACATTCGCTGTCTCGGTGTCTCCTTCACAACCATCACTCTATGGATTCGAAGGAACTGTAGTTTAGTGTGCGACGGATCTCACAATCAAGCGGCAATAGACCATTGCCCCGTAGGTGAACGTCGGAACGGCGAGTCATCCAGTTGTGATGAACGATAATAGGAGGACGATCAGGCTTTTCTTCTAATTGGACAGAATAGGTATTAGGATATTGTCCCGACTGTTGAACGGTTCCTTTATGAACTTGTGGATGAGACTGATGGGGGTGCGGTATTGAGATCCA